TGTGGGAACGACGCACCTTAACCTAATCCTGACCTACAACCCCACAAATTGGTGACCCCGATATTGCTCTATCTCGCTTACTCTATTACATAAACAAATTAACAATGACGGACTCACAAGAAATAAACACATCAAACGGAGAACGCTCGCAAATCAACAGGGTGGCTTTAAAAGTACCTCCTTTCTGGACAGACGAACCCGAATTATGGTTCGCACAGCTTGAAGGCCAGTTTACACTAGGAAGCATAACGCAAGACAGCACTAAATATGCTTATGTTTTGTCCCACATAGAGACTAAGCAGGCCAAAGAAATTAAGGACCTGATAACAAAGCCACCTGAAGAAAATAAATATGAGAGTATCAAGAAGGCATTAATACAACGCCTATCGACCTCTCAGGAACAGCAAATCCGCCAGCTCTTAGAGCATGAAGAAATGGGAGATCGAAGACCTTCACAGTTTCTCCGGCACCTACAGGCCTTGGCCAGTTCAGCCATTTCGGAACAGCTTCTACGGACTTTATGGATGGGCAGATTGCCATCCCAATTACAAGCTATTCTAGCCACACGGAACGCTGACAAACTAGAGGATGTAGCCGAGCAGGTTGACAGAATTCATGAAATCACCTGCAGAGCCACGACAGTCGCCAGTATGCAGTCGACAACGAATTCCTCAGTAGAGGATCAAATCGCTGAGCTAAATAAAAAGCTGGAAAGATTAGAAAACCGGCTGTCTCGCCCTGGAAACAGAAACAACCAGCGCAATCGTTCCAGGAGTCGGTCCAGAAAAGGCCAAAAAGAAGAAAAGGAAGCAGACGTTTGTTACTTTCACCGACGATTCAAGGAGAAAGCTCGGAAATGCACACAGCCGTGCAACTTCAAGAAAGCATTGGAAAACTAACGGGGCAGTCGTTATCAGCGGCAAACGGCCCTTGCCCGAACCCATGCCGCTTATTTGTCACCGACCGCAGCACGAAGCTTCAATATCTCATCGATACCGGCTCCGATGTCAGCGTTTATCCTCGCTCGTTGGTACGAACACGACGCTGGGCTGACTCAAGAGAGCTATTTGCGGCCAATGGATCCAACATCAAGACATACGGAGATCTCACTATGCAGCCTGATCTCGGTCTTCGCCGAGCCTTTCCTTGGCGATTCATTATCGCAGACGTAACTACGCCAATAATCGGATCCGACTTCCTGGCGCATTTCCATCTACTTTCGGATGTGAAAGAGGGACATCTGGTAGATGCAAAAACAGGACTTAAAGCAAGTGGAACGGCAAATAGAGATGCCATGCCTTCGGTTAAAGCTGTCATGGGAAACACCCCCTTTCATCATTTGTTGGCTCGATTTCCTGGTATCACGAGAACCACGGGAACGCACCGACAAAACCAGCCGCACTCAACGATGCATTTCATCAAAACTACACCAGGACCTCCAGAAGCATGTCGACCACGGAGGTTGGCACCTGACAAGTTAAAAGCAGCTAAAGCGGAGTTTAACCTACTTCTAGAAGAAGGAATTATTCGACCGTCCAAAAACCCTTGGGCCTCGCCGTTACATATGGCCCCTAAAAAAGGAAACTCCTGGAGATCCTGCGGGGATTACAGGAAGGTGAACTCTCGGACTGAGCCTGACAGATATCCCATATCTCACATAGAAGATTTCAGCCATTCCTTGAGCAGGAAGAAATTCTTCTCTACTTTGGATTTAATCAGAGCTTACAACCAAATTCCGGTACACCCTGACGACATCCCCAAAACAGCCATAATCACGCCATTCGGATTATTCGAGTACCTATACATGCCTTTTGGATTACGAAACGCAGCACAGACCTTCCAGAGATTCATCAACGAGGTCCTGCACGGCTTGGATTACTGCTACGCATACATAGACGATATCATAATCGCCTCCGCAACGGAAGAAGAACACCTAAAACATTTAGAAGAAGTATTTCGTCGTCTCGAGGCATATGGTGTCCAACTGAATCCGGCCAAATGCGTTTTGGGAGCTTCACAAGTGCAGTTTCTTGGGTACCTTGTATCGGCAGAAGGCACTCGCCCGTTGCCCGAAAAAGTCCAGGCTATACGCGACTTCAAGAAACCAGAAAATATTAAGCAGCTTAGACAATTCCTGGGAACCTTGAACTTTTACCGGAGGTTCATACCGGGAGCAGCAAAGGACCAAGCCACATTACATGATGTCCTACGGGGTCCTAAAGCAAAAGGAAAAACTCCAATCGAGTGGACTTCGCAGCTTGAACAAGCTTTTCAGAGATGCAAGGATAGCCTCTCGAAAGCCACGCTCTTAGCACATCCCAGAACTGAAGCCAAGCTCACACTAACTACAGATGCTTCGGATACGGCACTCGGAGCAGTGGTCCATCAGGAAACAGACAATGGATGGCAGCCTTTGGCATTCATGAGCAAGAAGCTTAATCCAGCTCAGAAGAAATACAGCCCGTATGACAGGGAACTTCTAGCCATCTATACGGCAGTAAAATATTTCCGGCATCTACTAGAAGGACGGAAATTTACTATCTACACGGACCATAAGCCCTTAATATACGCTTTCCAACAAGATCTGTTGCGCAGCTCTCCTCGGCAAGCAAGACATCTGGATCTCATTGGACAGTTCTCAACGGACATTCAACACGTGGCTGGGAAAGACAACATTGTTGCAGACACACTATCTCGCATCGAAGCAATTGAGAAAGCACCGGACTTCGAAGGATTGGCAAAATCACAGCAGGAAGATCCGGAATTTAAACAGTTATTAGATGGCAGCATCCAGTCATCACTGAAATTGACAAAAATACAAATACCTGGCTCAGCAACAGAATTGTACTGTGACACTTCGACACCAGTCGCACGCCCCTACGTGACGGAGCCATATAGACGGCAGGTTTTTCAAAGCCTGCATGGCTTATCACACCCAGGGATAAAAGCTACAGCAAGATTGGTCAGACAGAAGTACATATGGCCAAACATACAAAACGACTGTCGAAAATGGGCTCAAGCATGCCTTCAGTGTCAGAAAGCCAAGGTGTACAAGCATACAGCCTCACCGACAAGAAACTTCCTAGGACCCACCAAGAGATTTCAGCATATCCACATGGACATAGTGGGACCCATGCCGACATCCCAGGGCTACAAATACTGCTTAACTATCATTGACCGTTTCTCAAGGTGGCCAGAAGCAATACCCGTCCCCGACATCACAGCTGAAACTGTAGCAAGACAGTTTTTCATCAACTGAATAGCCAGATATGGCACACCAACACGGGTGACAACGGACCAAGGACGGCAATTTGAATCCGAGCTATTCAAAAAACTCACGAAGCTAACGGGTTCAGCACACCTTCGCACCACGGCGTACCATCCACAAGCTAACGGCATGATCGAAAGATTCCACCGGCAGTTGAAAACAGCCATTAAGAGTCACCAGACGGAAGAATGGGCAGAAATACTACCGGTAATCATGATGGGAATTAGAGCAGCATGGAAGGAAGACCTGCAGACGACACCAGCTGAAATAGTCTTCGGAGAATCGATCCGATTACCCGGACAATTCCTCGAAGAGACCTGCGCAAAATTTGACGACACGGAGGATTTCGCAGCACGATTAAATAAAATTATAAGAAACCTGCAGCCAAAACTAAAAAGACACGGAGAAAAAGCTATTTTTATATATAAAGATTTAGCTACAACACAACGAGTGTTCCTCCGTCATGACGCACCGACGAGAGCTTTGCAGCCACCATACGATGGACCATTCAAAGTTCTAAACAGAGGAGAGAAAACCTTCAAAATCTGCGTCAATGGTCGACCTGTCAACGTGTCAATCGATAGATTGAAACCCGCCTACATTCTGGAGCAAGAAGAACCGGAGCCAGCTCAGTCGTCAACTGGAACCACACAAACTCCCGAAGAGCCACAGCAACAACAACGGACGAGAAGCGGTCGTATTTCACGTCCACCAGTCCGTTTCCAGGGACTCTAAAACAACCAAGGGGGTTATGTGGCGGTCAGCTGTCCGCCTGCCGCCACGTGCGCGCGACCGTACATACGCTACGTGAATAGTATGACGGGAGGCGCGCGGCACGCAGCACGGATAGTAGCGTAATATCGATCGGCGCGCGGCATGAGTATCGACCGGCGGAATATTTCGGCGCGCACCGCTGCGCGGCGTATCTCTCTCGTAAGTAAAGTTCGACATCGATCCTTATATAAAGGGCAGCTCAGCGGGACCTCTCCAGTGATCTTCGAGAACGCCAGTCAGGGCGAGCTACCTATCGG